GGCTCCCAGCTCCAGCTTCGGGGTCCCTCACTGCCTGACTGGTGCCCCCGGGCCTTGTCTCATGGTCCCCGCCCCCTCTGCGCCCCCTCACCCCTCTACCTGGGGGTGCGCTGCGCAGGCCCTTCTCCATCTCCGGCCTGCCCTGGCGACCTGGCTCGCTCCCCGCGGCATTCCTGACACTTGCCTTGGGGGCTCGCTCCCCGGTGCCTCACCAGGACAGTTGTGGGCCACAGCCGCGCCTCGCTACTCGGCTCAGGTCGGGGGTGTCCCCCTGGCGCCTCGAGCTTTCCCGCCCTTTAGTGCGAGCTGCTTAAAAAAAAAAAAAAGCGGGAGGCGGGAGCGCATGCGCACCCTGACAGCCCTGCAGCTCAGCAACTGGTGACGTCAGGACGCTCTGCCCCTCCTTATTGGCTGCCTCCAGCCAGCACGTGTCGGCTGGAGTAGGTGTCTGTTGCCACCAGGCACCAGGGGGTGCTCTGCGTCTGAGCTCTTGGACCCTGCAAAAGCTAGAGACTCGTGTTGTTATGGCAACTGTGCCCTCTCTAATCGGGTGCCAGCTCTATTTGACTGGATCTGCTAATCTGGTTGGATGCCTGGCGAGTCAATGCCTGTAACTGGTTGGATGCCAGGGAATTTGGATCTTCTCAGCATCTCTCGCCCGCGGCCGAGTTTCTCCACTGGCCATGTGGAGCTGGAAAGTGACGAGTAGCCAGGGGGCGTCAGGGGGTTTGCACAGGGCACGGTAACCCAGCGGGACTGGACCCGGCAGATGGGCTCTCAGATGGAGCCTCCCTTTCTCCCGCCAGAGGGCGCCACATCGTGCTGGCCCCTGGAAGCCGTGGTGACCGGTGACGTCGCTGGAAGATCTACTCTTGATTGGCTACTTCTCCATAGTCGCACCTTCTTAAAGGAGCCTGAAGAGAACCGAGCCATCGCTTAGCCAGGTACTGTCAGGAGAAGTGAATGACCTTGGTCTCAGAATACTTAAGTGTGCAAAGGGCATTCACCCTGTGATCCCATTCAATTTCCGTAAGCGTCTCAGGTGCGCCAATTATGATCAGAGCGGACACCGACTGAAGCCATAGGGCGCTGTGCCCGGCACCTGCTGTTTTAGACATCTGGCATCTGCCACTCGCGATTTAAATCGTAATCGAACATTTTAAAGCCGTTTCAGTTTCCCAGGAAAAAAAAAACGGAAAGTGGTATGGTATGGGAATATCTTACCCTAATTCTCCACACCCTAATTCCCTCTCCCCCGTTCCCCTATTATTAACATTTTTGAGGGACAATATTGTCTGATTCCTGGACTGAGTCATTTCACAGAGAGCAGAGAGGTGGTCGGCTGAGAGGGAAGAGCAAGTTCTCCCTGAATCGGTGCGCAGCTAACCCTTGGCGTGGTTTCAGCCATTACCGGCAAATCAGTGCGAATGCCGTCGGCACACTGAAGAGGGTGGGGGTGGTCAATTAAAAAAAATTTTTTTAAGATTTATTTGTTTATGCATATAGAACTGGGGTAAAGGCCAGAGGTTCAGGGGCTGTGAGAGACAGAGTGGGGAGCAGAACAGGCCGACTGACGAAGTCCACTGTGAGCGGAGCAGCGGGGGGGGGGGGGGGGGGGGGGGGGGGGGGGGGGGGTCAGGAGAGGTCTGCCGCGCCCTGTGGGTCAGGGCCAGGATCGAACTCGAGCTGAAGTGGCTTTAGCTTCTTAGTGCTGTGCTTTAACCCGCTGCGCCACCAGGGAGGCCCGGGAGTGGTCAGTTTTATGACATCCCACCAGCAGTTAAACTTCTTCAGTGCATCAACTGTGTCTGAGTCAATGGGTTTTGACCCATGGCTATTGTGAGGGGCCGTCTCCACATGCAGATACAGGACCCCACCGGATCCGGATGTTCTCTTGGTGCCTGTGTGCCCCATCTGCAGCCCCGGGCAACCCAATCTGCCCTCCATGCTCAAAGATTAGTGTTCCTTCAACTACAGTTTCAACAGTCATAGTCTGTGCTCACTCACGTCTGGCTTTGTTCACGAGACTTGCTGGTCTGTTTGTTTGTTTTACTACATGACATTTGTGCACTTTCTCTGCTTTTTTTTAAGATTTATTTATTTGTACATACAGAACTGGGGTACAGGCCAGAGGCTCAGGGGTAGCGAGAGGCTTCACCAGAGACAGAGCAGAAAGCAGAACAGGCAGATCGACAAAGTACACTGCTGAGGGCAACAGCGGGCGGGTCAGGAGAGGTCTGCCACGCCATGTGGTCACCTCCGGGGCAGGCAGCAGTCGAACTCATGCTGAAGTGGCTTTAGCTTCTCAATGCTGTGCTTTAACCCGCTGCGCCACCAGGGAGGGCCTTTCTCTGCTTTTTTAAAAAGATTTTTTTATGCAGGCCAGAGGTGTGGGGGGGGGTGAGAGGACTCCCCAGAGAGAGTGGGGAGCAGAACAGGCGGATCCACTGAAACCCACTGCTGAGGGGAGCAGCTGGGAGACAGGAGAGGTCTGCTGCGCCCTCTGGTCACTCCCTGGCCGGGGATTGAACTCATGCTGCAGAGGCTGCCGACAGCTTCCCCAAGCCTTGCTGCTTTTTAGCGTCATGCAGAGTACTACTCCCTGGGGCAGTTGAGGCCCGTTCCATGGCCAGCTGCAGCCCCCGGAAAGCCTGTGGTGCATCTATCCAGCTTTCCCGACCGAGGCTGTCACGAAAGTAGACCCTGTGGCTATGGGTGTGGATGTAGGTTTATTTCTCACAGAAAACGAGCGCCAGGGCTGGATTGCTGAATCACAGGGCGAGCACATCACGCGATGAACTCTTTTCCAAGGTGTTTGGAGGGAGTCAAATGGTGACCCCGAAAGATGTGTCTGTATTCTTACCTCACAGAACCTGTGGATGTGGTATCATTTGGAAAAGGGGTCTTCGCTGACGTAGTTAGGGATCCCAGACAAGGTCCCTAAATCCAATGATAGGTGTTCTTAGAAAAAAGGCAAAGGAAGAAAAAGACCGGGCGGGGGGCGAGGGGGGGACTGTCAGCATTTTACATCTATTCAGAGCAGCCTGGTGCTAACACTGTCCTATTTACATGTTTCTGCTCCGAGACATCTTGCTCCCGTTTGGAGAAGCTGATACTTAGGTTTTAGGTCAGTCAATATTGAAGTGATTCTGAAGGCTGTTGAGACACTAGTACATTCTAATATATAATTATTCGCCATGAATCATAACTATTCTCAACGCCAATAACTCACATGAGTCACGTAACTCTGCGCTAAAGCCTGCGTGCAGTGCTCGCGTTTAACTGGCCTCACATCTCCAAAGTCGGCATCTTTGTCTTCGGGGTAAAGGAAAGGAAGCTTCGCTGCTTTGCTGAAAGTCAGAGCTGAGGCTTGGGGGCGGGAGAGTTTGCGTGCAGCGTGATCTCGACCTTCCCCTGGGCCCAGGTGGGCTCTGGAGTGGGTGCCGACCGCGAGGCAGCAAGGAAAGCCAGCAGTGCGCCCCAGATGCCACCTTCAAGGGTCAGTTTTTGCGCCAGGGCGTCCTGTCTCACGAGGCTCAAAGGCACCGTCGGTGCTGGTGGACGCTGGCCGGCCGGCCTGCCTCCTGTCTCCATGCCCTTGACCTCAGCGCTGTGCGGTGCCTGTGTTCCTAGTGTATCGTGTAGTCAAACCAGCGTCATATGCGTGTCCAAGGAGCCAGGGGGCCGTGGCGACACAGTGGCACAAAGCAACACCAATGTGGACAGAGACCCCACCTGACCGCGAAGGACTGGGCAGCCATGGGGGATGCACCCGAGGGCCTCGGGGTGCGCCTGGCACCCTGACTCGGGCTGCGGGTCTCCAGAGCCAGGAGTGAGCATCGTCTCCAGGTGGCTTGCCACGGCAAGGCGGCCACAGTAAGCCACTGGTGGCTGTGCCTGGTTTGGGAATGGGCGGGGGTGTGAGCTCAGGCCCATCAGGCGGCAGACAAGGCCAAGTGGCCGCGGACAAAGGGCAGCCCCTGCTCACTGCCGTGGGACCCCGGTGGGGCAGCCGGCCAAGGGGCCCCTTTGTTCTGGAGGAATGTTACTATGGCGGCAGGGTTCAGGGCAAGAAGGATGAGGACCGGAGGGGGGTCAGCCTGGGGGCAGGGGGGCAGGTCATGGCAGGCGTGGATCCAGAGCAAGTGTGCCAGAGGGAGAGAATGACCAGTCACGTTCGGGCCCTCGGGTGACCACCTCTGGCCAAGCAATCCTTTCCCTGGGTAGAGACGGAGGGAGGAAGAAGGGATGGGGGCAGGAAGAAAGGGAGAGAGAAGGGGTCGCGGTTTTGTGTCTTCCGTTATCTGTGCTGGGCTGACGACAGCCAGGCCTGTCAATTCCCAGCCGACCCCCACAACGCTCATGCTCCAGGACGGAGCCTAGAAGTGACAGCGGCTCCCTTTCCCAGACTGCTTTGCAACACAGGGTGGCCACAGACCCAGTTCTGGCCAAAGAGAAACGGGAGCTCTTCCGAAGAGGGAAGGTACTAGAATGGGGTGGTGCTGCCAGGCAGCGTGTACTCGTGGGGCGGAGGCCGCATGACTGAGACGCCAACCCACCCAGTGCCTGGCGTTACTGAGCAGCTGAGCGCATCTTGGGACTGTGTGTCTCTGAAAGATGTTATCTGAGCACAATGTTATGAGCAAAATTTGTTATGTGAGCAAAATCTCTCATTTCAGCTCTTTCTGTTTTGTGCAGCTGAAAGCCTCACAACAGATGCACCATTAAAAGCTGTCAGCTCCAGACAGCCATCCTATTTCCATCACAAAGACCTGCTTGAAAGTGAGCGAAGCCGAGTCATGGGACACCTGGATCGCACTGTGCCTGAAGTCCTCCTGCACGCGGACTCAACAGAGCACAGGGCTTCCGATTCTGCTGGGACGTGTAGGTTGTGTCTGATGGTCACAATCGTCCTGGCCGAGGTAACGTTTACAAGTTAAGGCTCAAGGAGATCCATGAAGTGGGTCACCAGCCAGTGGCCAGGTGAGACTCTGACCCAGCCTCGGCTGAGAGAAGACAGGAGCCCCATGTGGAGTGAGACCCACGGTGTGTATTTATTCTGGCATTGATAGCAGCAGCAGTGGGGGGATCGGCCAGACGCGGGATGTGGGGAACAGAAGGGGAAGACACGGGTGTGTGGGGGTGTCGGGAACACAGAGGATTGGTCGTTGACATTCAGAGAGAGAACAGGGGTCAGGACACTTAGTCTCGAACAAACAGCAAAGACAGAGACAAAGGATCTGGGGTGCCAGGTGTCCCCCAGACATGCACAGCCCCTCGCCTGGAAGGGGAGCCCCAGAGAAGGGAAGACAGACACAGTGGAGACTGAAGCCCCCCACCCTGAAACACGGAGCTAGGTCCGCCTTCCTCCACCCTCACACCACTGGGGTGGAAGGACAGGCAGCCCGATGGCCCCGCACCATACAGCTCAGACATTATGGCTTCGAGGAGATGAATTCACGGTCCGGGCAGAAAGGGGAGGGGCCCGAGGGGGCCTGGTCCGATCCGGGCCTAGGCCAGACCTGCAGGGATGGGGAGGGAGGGGGCATCAGTGAGGGGCAGGCAGGAGGGGGCCTGTGTCTGGCTGTCATCATCCCAGACCAGGGAATCCTGGCCCATGTTCCTACACCCTCAGATCCAGGCCCCGGGCCCCTCCACCCTCAGGCCCCAGCCTCTCCCTCAGACCCTGGGTCCAGGCCCCC